AGTTCGCTGGCAAATTGATGAACCAGGAGAAAGCTACTCCTGTTAATGAACTAGGGAACAACCTCATTTTATGGTAGTCGGTTACTTCATAACTTTGCAGTGTGAATTGCCCTATGTGTTCTAGAGTAGACATCTCTCCTAAACCGGTAAATAATGAGAATTCTGGCGTTTTATACCCTCTAGGTCATGGATATGTTTGGTCTACCCAATCAATATGTGGCTTTGTGTAAGTCAGCCTAATGACAGGACGTACCCCAAAAGCCATTTGATCCTGTACTATTTCCATAATTTGATTTATCAACATGACGTTGGGGTCATAAGGAATTCCTACAGGTTGGTTGATGGGTTAATTTGCTTGAGGCCTGATATTTGGTCCTTGGTTGGCAACAAAGTTGCCATGATTTGAGCCATTGTTACATTAGTCTGAATATTTATTCCATCATTAATATGTGGGGTATTCTGTCCATTATTTAGGACATTGTCTCTTACATTTAGGTTATCCCCCAAGTTAGATATACCATTACCACTATTCTGATTTGGTATTACACCACCCCCTGGTTTGAAGTAGACGGACCAAAAGGTGGTTCTCTCTCTTGATTTAGACTTAGGACTGGGGAATTATGTCCTACAATTGTCCTAACTTGAAAGTGACTTGCAATAGGCACAACTGGCTGACAATTTGGCCTACTAACTTATTCATTATTTCATTTAATGTATTCAGTTGTTTGGCCATGTTGTCATAATGTGCATTCCCATTCTAGATAAATCTTTCCATATTATGAAAATTTTGTAGATTTACCTGTTCAACGACATCCTGTGTGAGTTCTCCAAGCAATGCACGCATGGTTCAAGGACTCAACTCTGTCATTGGTTCGTAACGACTGTGACTGCTCTGACTCTGTCCCTCTGTTTGTGGAGAGCGTTGCTGCTCCTCATATCGCTCGATTACAGACTGGACTCCTCCCTGACTTGCTACTTCCTTATCAGATTTGTGAGGCATATTGTTTCACTTTTTGTATCCTCAACACCAAACATCAAGGTCCCACTGGGCGTGCCAAATTGTTTCGCGCGGGTAGTCGCTAATAATTAAAAAATGGATCAGACGATTGTGTAAGGAACAGACCTCTTGAGACAAAGTCCAAAAAAGGAATATTTTATTGACGATGATTTACAATTGGAAATAAACAGAATGCTTCCAAGAGGCGCAAGCACACAAATACTAAAAGAAGTGTTTAAATTTAAATTAAGAAATTAAAATTACATATTCTCTGTTTGAGAGTGTTTGATTCGGGCCCTTTTTCTCTATATCTTCTCTTCCTTTTTATATTCTCTTAATGATTTTCTCGTGACAAACCATTTGAAAACTACTTGATTGTTTTATAACTATCCATTTTCTTTATGGTGGCTAACTTATCGTGGAACTGCCGTCTCTAACTGCTACCATTACTCTTTGTCGTTCAACCGCCTTCAACTGGGCTCCTTGAATCGTGGAACGTGATAAGATTACTCAATAACTGTTATTCTGGATAACCATAATATTTTATGTTTGCTAAGATTCTGGGCGATTTGAAGGTTTGGACGAGAACGGGGTCATCGCTCTGGACGATCGTAAAGCACTCCATTCACTCAGATTCTGGGCGTCTTGCAAGTTTGGGCGATGATGTTACTGTGTTCATGGGCTTCCACTGCATTCATCAGTAATTCTGTTTGGACCTTTATCCTGGACTCCCCAATTGGGCTTCACTTTTTGAGCTATTTGATTTGGGTTGCACTTTTAGTGTGTCAACAGTTATAGTTGATTTGGGCTGGTAATTCCTACATTTACAAAGTGAACCTTGGAGTTTACATTTCCTGGATTGGGGGGCGTAGAGGAGAAAATTTAGACATTATTTGAAGCTGAAGGGGAAAATTGCAAGGTAGTTATTCATCTTCAGTTTATTTTTAGGAGGGGGGGGGGGGGGGGG